CGGGCTTATAATATATGTACTTTTATTTTTTGGTGGTGAAATGGACTGATGATTTTTTCCCTTTCTTCGCTGGACTGTTGTGCCAACTGCCAGGCTGCCTCCTGCCCTTAACAGCCCTAAGTGGCTGCCTTCTTTCCATCGACTCCTAACTCCTTCCAGTGAAGTTTAATTGTCCCTCTTCCCCGTTCCCGATCCCCTCCAATTGCTCCCAAGAACCCTGACTCACTTATATGCATATCTTGAGAAACTGCTGCAGGTTAGCTCTTTTTGCCAGCTCTCCCTGGAACTCTTGGCCTCGTGTGGAGGGAGGGAGAGAGTGGAGATCTTCACTGGAAGCCATGGGAAGAATTGGAAGTTACGTGCTGTATATGTGTTGTACAGCAATCCGATAAACCGATGCTTCTTTATCAAGATTTTGATTTTCTTGGTGGGGAAGGGACTTTTTGGTGTTTTTGGAGAAGGGGAAGTGTGAGCTCTTCCCTCATTCCTAAGTGACTGTTTTTGAAGCAAAGAAGGCTGGCAACATTGGCACATACCACCGGCAAGGGTCCTTGAGTAAGTGAAGGTCTCCTAGAACTGAGATTAAGAAACCTTGCTCTCCTCATCTCCAGGGCAGGGACCGTCAAGAACTTACAGACTCCATCTCTTCTCCAAGCTTCATGCCAACTGGGCTGCCGCCGCCGCCCCTACTGAGGCTGTCCCTAACCCTCCTCTCCCAACCTGTGATAATGTCTGCTGGCTTGGCCATTTGCAAGAGGCTGTAGGAACAGGAGAATGTGTCAAAGAAGACTTTTGGGTGAGAAGGAGCAGAAAGATGTCTTCTGGGGAGGAGAAAAACCTTAGGAGCTAGTAGGAATGTACATGAATCAGTTAGTCTGAAACTGGCAGGAAGCTTCAAAGCTGGCTTCCCCCCGCCCTTATTTCTCCTTTTCCCCCATTATAGCCCTGCCCTCCCCTGTCTGCTCCCTGGATTGGTTGGCTGACTAAAGGACTTGATGTACATACTTCTGCCCCCTTTACCCTAAAAGGCAGGGTTTGCCCCTGGCTTTGCCTATTCTTTGTGCCTTTGGCCTGGGGTGCATCTCCTCCTTCCCTTCCATGTGCCTTTCTTTGCCTCTGCAGTCTCATTTCTCATGATTTTGCAAATTATATTTTGTTGATTCTTATCCACTATTGGCCCTAAATAGCAGAAAGAAGAGGAGAGGTGACCTAGAGAACCCCAGATTCTCCGTTGGGAATTGGCGTAGCCTCTAGTTTCAGCCACAGCAAGCTTTTGCCTACAGTATATGGTTGGGATTTTGCAAAAATCCTGTTCTGATGAATCTCAAAATGAGGTTGTTGGGAGGAGTGAGTGGTATGATTTTTACTCCTTAGTTGCTCAAAATGTACCATCTCCGAAGGGGTTGTAGGGAAGTCATTTCTGTCCCCCATCCCCAAATACCCCCTCCTTTCAGTTCAGTGCATATTTGCTGGTTGGGCTAGTTTACTCCTCCCGTTAGTCTGGAAGCTCAGTTCAGTGCAAACTGGAAAGCGTTACCCTCTCTCCCCCTTCCCTTATATATGGAGGCTATGGGGTAGGAGAAAAGTGCACAGCCCACTGCACCTTTCCTCTTCCCCTATGCATTAGAATCCCTTACTTACCCTTTCCCCCTCCCATTTCTTTCCGCTCCTTTTCTGGCAAAAAGGAGCCTTTTCCTCTCTCTGACCCTAAGAACATACTGCACAGGGGAAGCCGCCCCCATCGGACCTGGCTCCACTCGTGGTTTCTCGTGTCCTCTTCTGCTCTTTTCCTGGTGCTCTTTTTCTTGGTGGGGTGTGGGTAATAGAACAGCCATGGGCTTTGGGGGACCTTTAACTGTTTTTTTTCTCTTTCGTTTATAAAAACACTAAACATTCAATTCCAGAGAACCAAAAATCGCACCTTTCCACCAAACACTACTAAGGGGCATGTCTTCTGCTCCATACCTTTTCTGTTTTTCTTTCTTGTTAATGCTTTTAAAAACAAATGAGTTTTTTATATAAATAAAGTTTTTAAAGTGTGTATGTAGGGGATCTGTGTCATTCTTCAATCTGTACCTCTTTTCTTATTTTTATCTTGGTTACCTTCTTAGATATTGGCGGACTTTCTCCAGTGCACCCAGAAGGGGGTCGTACCAGGATGGATTTATTTTGAGCTCAATCCCAATGTTATCAGGCAATGGATTTCCTCTTAAGATTCTTAAAAATCTGGCTAAGAGTACAGGAAGCTTATTGCTAACTTAGAGATAGGAAACTAAAGTATAAAGAATTAATGACTTCCTAAGTCACTGGGATTCTTTTGCAACATTTGACAAAACGAACTGAATAAAGCCAAATGCAGTAGAAGGCCCTCTTGAATGTAACGTTTATGGGTAGAAGATTAGAAGCTACCAACTCCATCTGCCCTTCTAACATTTACAAAAATGTAGAATTAAAAGTCTCACGTATAGAAGTACTGAAAACTGGGCTATAATGTTGTTTCTCATGCAAACTGCAACCCTTCAGTAAGAAGACAAGAGCCAGTCCTGTGTCCTCTGTGTCCTACCAAATAATGCCTGGGTGGGCAGCAAATACTTGGATTACCAGAGGTTGTCTTTAAGGCAGAGGTCAAGGCTTAAGACCTGTGGAAAGTGACTTATTTTTCTGGGGCCGTATTTCCTGTTCTATAATTTAAAGTCTAGAGAATTTGTTTCCGTTTGCCCAATCTTCTGATTAAAAATATCTAGCTGCTTCTGATGATGGTCATGTCTCAATTTTGAATAGTTCTTCCATATGAAAACTCTTGGGTTAATGAGACTAGGAAATTAGAGCATTGTAACTGATAACCATTTAAAGTTTGGTTTGTGTCTGACAGTTTAGTTTTAAACTAGAAGGATGAAGCACAAGAGCTAAAAAGCTGTTAAAAATTTGCTTTCCGAAGAAGTTCACAAGCCCTACTTGAGGTGGTTTTTTCACTTGTAGAAAAAACATGGCCGCCTTTATTTCCTTACATTATAGCCTTTAAATAGCCTTGGTTTCTTTTATATTCTTTATTATTCATTGGCATTGAGTTGTATACAAACCTTACTCTTCTCCCCTCTCCCTGGATTGTTTCATTTGTTTTATCTCATTCAATAAATATCTACTGAGCGTCTATACTAGGCATTGTTGTGGATGTTAAATTTAGAGGAAAAAACGGATGAACCCTATCACGTATATTATAGCCCATGAGGATCCAATGTAGCTAAGATCTGTGATCTTCTAAAAACATTTTTCTTCTCTGTTTGTAAAATAAGGTGTTAAACAGTGATCTGTAAAGCCCCTGTATCTCAAATTTCTTGATGCTAATTTAGTAACGTTTTTGAAGCCACTTGGTATCTCTTACACCAATTCTAGGATTCAGTCCTATGGATTTTGTCCAGACTTGCCTGTGCATTCCCTGATCCTTAGAGCCTGAGTGGTTTTTCTGGAAGCGGATATAGATTACGTTCAACCACTCTTCTGCCACAATGTCAATGAGACTTTTGTTGTTGTTGTTACCATGTTTGTGCAATAATGAGTTTTGCTGTGATGTACTTACTGACAGCTCAAAGCTATGGCCATACTTGGCCACTTGTTCTTTCTTGCTGAACTAATTGTACTTTGTTACAAACTGGAAACATCTCACCCAGGAAGAAGGTTATTGTTTCTAATTTTGTCTATCTTTATGTCTGAAGTATAAGATAGTAAAGGTTCGTTTTGGTACTGGCATAGACAGATAGTTATGGACCAACTGGACCTAGGCTCATAGATCTGAGTAGTACACACAGGAATAACCTGGGAAGCTTATTAAAAATGCAGATTCCTGTGTTCCATTTCCCAAAATTGATTCAATAGGTGGGACTCGGGATTCTGAAGTCTTGTTAAGTCACCTAGATTATTCAAATACCTGGTCAGTTGCAACTTGAGATTCTGATCTAGTGACTTGCTTAAGACTCCAATCTCAAAATGGAATCCAAGATGACTGGCTCCATCTCCATGGCAGGCATACTAGTTTCATGGTGGGTGTGATGAAAACCACAGAAAGGGAGAATTCATAGAGGAGACTATTTTAAAGGACTAGATTGCTTGCTGTAGTATTTGAGATAATAGCGATAGACTGACATAGCATGTGGATTGGGGGAAACTTCTTACCTTGCAAATCATGTTATGTAGGTAATGCCCAGGCTGCTGAGAGGTAAAGGTAGTCCTTGAGATGTAGCCCCCCAAGGCATGTAGAATCCCCTGGAGTTGCTGTTTGATTAGTGTCACTTCTGGCTACAAAGGATACCTCGGCTAGAGAGTAAGTGGCCCCGTTGGCCAAGGAAGTACCAGACATACTTCTGTCTGGACACTTAAATCACACCTGAGAGACAACCTACCTCAAGAAAGAAAGCACAAAAAAGTAAGAAAAGACACTGTAGGAGCTAATATATTTTTCCTATAACTTTGTGACCTCTTGACTTTGCTGTTGTCTGACTGTCCCTGTAAGTATTAATTAGTTCTTCAGCTGATCCACCCAGAACTTAGGGGCAGACCTGGATGGAGAGAAAGCTGGAGGAAGTGTGTTAGGGAAAGCATCAATGAAAATGTTTTAGTCTGTCTGCATTATTATATTGTCGATGTAAAAATGTCCAAACCTGTAGAGAATTTTTATAAAAATGTATTTGAGCCAAACAGGATATGCCTGGATGCAAGATCTCAACAGACTGAGAAAAATGCTTCCTAGAATGACGGTTTGCAGTTTCTTATATATATTTGAAATAAATGAGGGAACCTAAGGAAGATTAAATGAGGGTGGGAGATTGGATTATAGGATGCTTAACAAGTTTACATTCTCCCTTGAGGGTGGTTATGGGGGTCTGGATGACTCTGGCATTTCAAAGGTTAACCTAGAAGCTCCAGAAAATTGGACAGTGCTT